ATTCTTGCAAAAAGTAGTCAGAGATAATTAACCATTATGCCCTCTCTTTTTAATTTAATAATATTATTTTTTATCTTTTTTTTTTCTTTTAATAATATTATTTTTTATCCATATAAAGGATCAACGTACCACACATGTTGTTTCATAATATAAAGATGACTTAAATATAGCTCATGTAAGAGATTTAAAACTAATTAAGTATATTTTTAAGACATTTGTCTAAGTGTAATTATTTTTAAAACAAAATAGAAGTAGCGTTAACAAAGGGGAAAAAGCTCATAGAAAGCTTTTTGTGGTTATTCTGTTTTGACAATTTTGGTATGTCTTTACTGCTATGTTTTCTTGATCTATGTGCTTGTATTTTTACATCTCTCTCTCTCTATATATATATATATATATATATCATGGGAGGACCAGAATTATTAGTTTATCTTATAGTATATCTCCTATTTTGAATTATGTGACATAGCTTCTTTATTCTTCTTCTAGAATCACTACAGGCAAGATACTACTAACAGATCAACCAACATAAGATCATATATATAGTTGCAAGAAAAGTCAAACAAAAAAAATGCCAACCAGTTATAAATATTCAATCCAAGTTGGAAATATTATATGCATTTGTTAAGACCAGATATAACCAGCGGCTCATCAAATGAATTCATAATTTGAGATCGAGCAAGTATAGTACTAAAATTTTGAAGGCTGCTTGATTCAATGAAGGACCTGAGAGGGCACTGTTCTCCTTCCTGTTGTTATGGTGATCATGTATAATTAAGAAATGGTGAGTTGGAAAATATAATTATTCCAGCAAAGTATGAGCGCTTGCAGCAGGTGAAAAGGAGTGTTGATGAAAATAGTTAGCGGGCTTAGCACTTTGAGTTGGTTTTAATTCTCTAATCCATTTGCCGATCAATAGTTTGCAATAATTCCAATTGCTTAATAATCTTTATGAACACCCCCATTAAGAACATTCTTTCATTTAAAAAACCCCTCATATTTTAGAAACTAAGCAAATATAAAACCATTGAACAAGCATATCATAACACCCCGTAATCCATAAATCAACAACTCGCAATAGGTTCTAATGAAGTATCTTTCAAAATTTTCTCTACTTCTGACATTACAACATATAATGATTTTTTTTATTTCTTGACTAATAAAATCATAAAAAGAATTTTCTTATGAAAATTAGAGCCATTAGACTGGCATTATAATGACAATGAAATAGTTTCATTTGTTAATTTGTATAATTCAAATATGAAGAATTGAAATACCAAGTAATAAATACTATGAAGATATGTTTAATTTAAACCAGATTGATGCAGTTAACGAATCCTAATAAAACCCAAATATTATATGTTTAGGGATTACTTATTTGCTTTTTGACCTTCTTCATAGCTACAGAAAGCTAACACAAAATAGAAATATTTTATTTGTATTAAAAAATCGTCAGCTGCTTTCAATAAATTTGCTTTGTAAAATCTCCTTATTATAATAAATCCTACTTACCAAAACTTGTGTTTTATACAAGCATGGGGAAAGGAAATCATAATAAACCTTCAAGGTATCAGATATAAGTGAATTTCATAATTACTTGCCGGAAAATCAATGTAATATAAAACTATTAGCCTAATCATATAAAACTTATCATATTGATTATAATTATTTATACTAATAATTTTTTTTCATCTTAATAATGATAATATAATTAAAATATATAATATGAATTTTTATTTTTAAAATTTTAATAACATGCATTTAATGTACGAATATTTTTAACCATCAAATAATACATAAATAAAATTGAGTACATTGATCAAGTGATACAAACTGGTTCATGCGGAGATTACATTCTTCAAGGAAATTTTCATTAAAGTACTTGTACCTATCATTCGGGACGAATAGAGATATCAGGAATGTGAGCAATATTTTGCCAATCGGAGCCTCCATCCTCTCGATAGCGCTCCTTTAACTCTGGATGACATTCCCCAATTATTGATAGACGTTGCAAAGAGGGAGGAAGGTTCGGTAATTCCCGAAGCATAGGAACATGCTCAATATATAGGCTCTGAAGTGAAGATAAGCTTTCCAAGGAGGAAGGGAGAGTCTCTAAGGATTTGAGATTACAAAATTGCAGCTCAGAAAGAGAAGTCCTATCATTGAGAAACCACTGCTCCGCCTCATTTGGAAATGAAACCAGCTCATCATTATCCTCAATACTCAGCATTTTAAAGGAGGCGATACTTCTCAATGGCTCCATTAGCAACACCGATGGATCACTTATGCTAAGATGGCTGAGCATGAGATGGCAATTATTACTGGTTTGCATTTCTCCGAGAAAGATCAGACTAGGGCACTTCTGAATTTTCAACTTTCTTAGTGCTGCAAGTCTTGCTATTTCATCAGCCAGAAGAAGAGATGTAATGTTTGGACAGTGAAAGACCTCTAATGATTTAAGGGGAATAGGATTTGAATTGCTACGAAAATTCAAAGTTGTCCACCCAGTTCTACGTATCACCAACCTCTTGAGCTCAGAAGGCAAAGAGGGCAACTCTTTCAACTTCGGGCAGTTATACAGCACCAGATCAGTTAAGCAAGGAAACAAACATCCGTCTTCAGCAGCTACTCCTGCCTCAAACCAATCCTCTAATGCTTCTAATCCCCAAATATGTAACACCTCTAGCAATGGAAAAGCACGGTATTTATCATTCCCATTAAATTTACTTTCGAGCCATTTTACTTTCGGCATGCCAGAAAGTGTCAGCGACTTAAGGAAGGGGAGTTGCCCGAAAGAAGGAAAAGTTTCCCACTGACTGCAAAATTTCAATTCGATTTTCTCTAGATTGAAGATCGAATTGACATTGTTCATCCATTTTGCAGACCTTGCACCCGTGTAACTGTCTATGCTCAAATTCCTTAGACATTTTGGTGGCTGAAGGTTGTTGAGCACATTCTCATCTAAATCGTTGTTCCTCGAATGAGTGACACCCGAACTCCAACATAAGGTCAATTTTGTGAGCCTCCTCTTTTCACATAATTTGGCACTACAAGCCTCCTCAGCATTCTTAACATTTTCAAGGCAATTTATTCCTAATTTGCAAAGATCATTCATATTCTCCAGCTCCCCAATTCTATATCCACTTACATCCCTAATATCAAACCTATTCAATTCTTGAAGAGACATTAGCTTCCCAATCCCACATATCGATGAAATAAAAGTCCCGGGAAATTCCAGATAACGCAAGTTAGAAAGGTTATTAATGTCACATGGTAAAAAATCACCATCTTTAGGATAATTTAGCCCCCATGAGCGACCATGGATTATGTATAGCAAGTGATAGAGATTACTTAGAGATCTTGGTAGCCTAGTAAAATGATATGATTTAACTCCTTCTATCTTCAAATATCGAAGATGTTTCAAATATCTAATCTTTTCAGGTATCCCTTGGAATTCATCAGCACGTATGTATAATAAGCGCAGGCATCTTGATGCTTTGAATATTTCAGTAAGTGCACTGCCAAGACCCTGATTAGAATCTTCATAGAACAAGAAAAGAGAATGCAAATGTTTAAACTTCTCAATCTTTCTTAAGATGTCTAGATTTGTAGTTTGAATAGACAAGTGTCGAATAGTCTCAGAAATCTGATTGAGAGGTGACTCTTCATCAACCACAAGTTTACCGCATTTCTGTGCAAAAAATTTAGATGCTGACTCATGTATTAAATCATGCATCATGTAGCAATCTCCGACCTTGTCAAATAAATTTTTTTTAACTAAAACATCAAAATACCTTCCTCCGATATCTTCCATAATCGTTCCTTGAGACGGCTGAATGAAACCCAATGCAATCCACATTCGGACTAAATCATCTTTATCAAACCTCTTTGAGATCCCTTGAAGTGCCCCAAGTGTCTCCAAACGTGCCTCTCCTTCTTAAGACATTCCAACATATCTGCAATGACTTTTTTAGCATCAAAGTTGTTGGAAACACAAAACCCACATTTTAAGATCAAATTCCTTTGTTACATATCTTTCAAACATGCTGCAAGAGAGTTGTCTTTCCATACCACCATGTCCCACTATAGATAGAAGAGATATTTCTGTACCAAGTTGTCCGAGGCTCATTTGATGGCTTCCCTCAACCACTGCATAACAAAACTCCTATCCTTGAGCGCCCGATGAGACTC